AGCTCAGTTGAAGAATTGACGATAGAGGCATGAGTAAAAGCAACACATTTTCTAGGACCTGTTTATAAAAATGTTTTAAGCAAAAAAAATTTTATTCCTCAGATTGTCGTCTTTCACAAACTCGTTTCATTCTCTCTGTACAGTAATTCAAACAGCAATTAGCAAGTCTTTTAATTAATGAACTATTCCCTGTATGTCACCAAGGTGCCTCCAGCACAAATGTCCTCCTTCATAGGTACTAGCAAATGCAGTCAATATTTTGTCACCCAAAGCCTCCACCTCGATAGTCCTAATACTATAAAAAGGATCTGAAGAGCCGAAGACAAGGCTGGAAAGCAGAGGACAATTTTCAGGAAACTAGCCTTGGTTAGTCTGTACCCAGAGAGAGGAAGAGGCAGAAGAAAGGGAACCAGAGGTGAAGAGGAGAGGCGGAAAATGAATGTATACAGATACCAGTGGTTAAAGAAAGACACAGAAAGTTTCTAGTGAAGCTATGAGCTTCAACTTTGTTATAACAAATGCTGATGGCATAGACATTAAGAGCCTCAAACCTCACTGTGTCTTGTTCTTTTAAAAGCTTCCTGCTTTGTTCAAAATACTGCTTATCTTTGGCATTGTCAACAGCTCTGCATCTGGGAGAGATTAATTAAGTGATAGGTCAGACACAATGAGGTGAAAGGGCATGTCCATCCAATCAGGACTGATTCTTCCATTTCTAAGTAGATCAACTTTTTTGAAGGATGCCAATTTTGGTTCCATTTCCAGGGAGATTTATCAATAGGGATGCTTGCACTCCTCCCGTAAGGGGCATTTAACTGGAAAAAATTGTTCTGCAGATTAAAAAAAAATCTAAAACCTACACTCTGTCTTTTTAAGATGTGAAAACAAAACTATCACTTGCCTATATGTTTAAGCTTCGCCAATCTGGGTGAAGGCTGATTTTCAAGAATATGATCCTGTTACAAAATAGCTAGTTGTATGGTTACAAATAAGAATGCCATGCAACACAATAAAAAAATTAAAAGTTCACTTTCTCTCCTCCCCTCCCAACTGTTTCTCATTGCCCCTTCCTTTCAACATCCACTTTTAATTTCTAGAAGGCAAAATGATAGAATGAGACAGGAAAGGAGTAGGAGAGGAGGAGAGAGAGAATGAAAGAGAAAAAGAGAGATTTTCTAGGTGTCATTGACTGAATTTTTCGAAACCAATTAGAGATTATCTTTAAATCTCCATCCTCCATTCCCCCCACACCTTTCTAAATCGATCTTTAGGTTAGTAAGAAATTAGTTAATTTGGTAAAGGCCATGTGGCCAGTTCACTCTGTTCCTAACCAGAAGAATTTTAAGGACCTTAGACCCCACTCTCAGAAATGGCACCCTCCTCATCTCTTAAGCAGCAGGTCAGTCTGGGTCAAAATTGTGGCTGCAAAATTGTAAAATTATGGAGTGTGTGTGTGTGTGTGTGTGTGAGAGAGAGAGAGAGAGAGAGAGAGAGAGAAACTCCCAGCCTGTGAACAAGGCTAGGCTCAGATAAAAGAGAGAGAGAGAGAGAGAGAGAGAGAGAGAGAGAAACTCCCAGCCTGTGAACAAGGCTAGGCTCAGATAAAATGACTGTTCTTGGTAGACCCCAAACAAAACATTTGGAATATTTTAACTCTATTCTTGAACACTCCTGCAAATGAAGTTCACATTTTCTGTGTGAGAGAGAGAGAGAAAGAGAGAGAGAGAGAGAAACTCCCAGCCTGTGAACAAGGCTAGGCTCAGATAAAATGACATTTGGATAAAAACATTTGGAATATTTTAACTCTATTCTTGAACACTCCTGCAAATGAAGTTCACATTTTCCAAGGTATTTTAGTGGGGGACATGCGGGGAAACAGTGGTTTGGGTTTTTCATAACTGACCAGCCATTTCTCCTTCTCCAAAGAAACATAGAATGCTAGTTTCTTCACTATCCAATTCTTCAAGTCATCTGGGATCTATCTATATTTATAAAATTGAGCAGAAATACTTAACAGCCTGATCAATAGCCATTGACCGTCAGTGCACCTCGCACCCTAACATGCACAGCTTGATCATGCATATTTGATCATTGAAAAATTCAAAGCATCTTGCAGCAATATATCAAGCTTCCCATAAAATAGTCTGTCTCTTTCTGTGGTCCTAAAATAGTACCAGTTTCTCTCTCCCCTGCATTCATCTATCTATCCACCTATTTATCTACACAAACACACACACACACACACACACACACACACACACCACATCACACCGCACTGCACTGCACCTCTCTTCCTAGAGAATTTATTGCTCATATATTTGATGAAGAACAAGGTAATTAACTGTGAGGCTGTACATCTGGGCGGCACTTCATATCCATTGCAATAATAAAACACTTTTTTCACATTTTAGCAAAAGAAAGGCTGGTCCTGCCCACAGATTCAGAGGACCCCAGAGTCTCTGTCTACATAGCCTCCCTGTTATAAATCCTGCCTCCCTCTTAAGTGATGGCACGTACAATTGCACCAAGGGGCACTAAGTTTATCTGTGCAAAAGCATCATTGGAAAACCTTGTGCCTTTCCAGAGCTTTAGCATCAGCATGTGGGGGTTTGAAATAGACACAGGTGGCTCCCTCATCCCCAGTCTGCTTGGCAGCACACTGGGGCGAGAGTCCAAAGGACTTGGCCTGTGAAGGGCCACAGGTAGAGGTATATTTTGGGGTTCCCAAGGGCTGGTGTCCTGAGCATGTGCCACTAAGATCTAGCACCCCAAAAAGGACCCAGTCCTGCAGATTTTTCTGATCCTGGGGTCAAAAAGCTGATTCCAAATTTCTCCATAAGGCATCCCAGATTTATCCGAACCACTCCAAGGGCTGGTCAGGCCAGAGGAATACAAGTGACAAGCCTTCTCCAAGCTCCCAGCACAATCCTTACAACCCAGGCCCAGAGACCACTGCCACCCCCAGCCAGCAGAACAAATTACCTGCAGAACCTCCCATTATGGGAGTCCCCTGCTCTGTATTCCGAACCATGCCCAGCACAAATTATTCGGGGCCCTTCCTTCTAAAAGCAGCAGCATCTGGGCTGAGGATTCCTCCTTTAAAGGTGGCGGGAGACTTCATATGATAATACGTGTAATATGATATGGAATGACAGAATGCATGACAGTTGCCCATAATACAGAGAAGTCAGTCAAAGGACAGAGGGGACATTTGGATAATTACCATCCATTGGCTAGTCAATCACGCGAACAGAGAGAAACTGCACAAAACCCACAATGGAGTTGGGAAACAAAAGAGACCCGAGCCAGACTCAGGATTAACCGGTCTAAAGCGATCTAAATGCTTTTGTATCTGAAGAACTGAGGCTCCAGGATTGCCCCCACCCATCCCAGGGAACTAATTGCGGGGATCAGAGTTAAAGCTCTCTCCCTCCTTTTCCATTTCTCTTTGTAGACTGCTCACCACGCACAAAAAAAAAAAAAAAAAAAAAAAAAAAAAAAAAAAAAAAAAGATTTCTCTCTCTGTGTTCATTAAACTATTTTAAAGTTAAGGGGTGGGGGAAGGGGGTTAGATGTGGCCCCTCAATCCAGAAGCTGGGATTCTGCAGCCTTCGAAGAGGCTGGGACAAGTCTTGGTTGGCTTCAATTCTTTGTTTCAGGGTAAAGCCTGCCCTCCTTGCCCCCTGGAAACAAACGTGCCATCCACCTGGCCCAGGGATGGGCAGCTGCCCTTTTGCTGGGGGCTGACAGGGATTGCTGGTCCTTTGCTTTGGTGAGGAATTCCCATAACTGGCTCCTGCACCAGAAAAACACAAGGTCCACCCCCGAGTCGAATGCTCAAATGGAATCTGCACACGCAGGATTAAGTGGGGATAAGAGGGCAGCAGAGAAATGGGTCTAGCCTTCAAAATGGAAGAGTGAGTCAGAAGAAGATGGGTGTAAATTGTAGGGAGAGAGAATTTCCTTCTAAATCGGAGAGTGAGAAAGAGGAAGAAAATCCTTCTAAACTGGGGGAGGGAGAGAATACTCTTAAGTGGGCAGCGCAGTGAGAGAAGAGACTCCTGCCTGAGAAACACAGAGGCAAAGAGGGGATTCCTCCACGGGGCGTAGAAAACGATGCCTATAAATGTTGAGACTCAGACGGGATGGCGAGGGAGGAAGCTAACTCGTTCAAAGACGGAAGGTACGGACGGATCTCTACACCTGAGGGGACACCCGCCCCACCTCCCAGGGCAGAAAGGCGGGTAACTATCCCCCAGTCCCCTCCAGGTCCCCCACGTACGATTCCAAGTCGCACCCCCCCC